ATCACCTGTGGTCACGAGTTTGAGAGTTTGAGACCAGCCTGACCAACATGGTGAACCCCCCCCGTCTCTACTAAAAATACAAACATTAGCTGAGGGAAAAAAGAGAGAGAGAGAGAGAGAAAGAAAGAAAAGAAAGAAAGAAATTAAACGGCTTGCATTTGAAAATTTTCTCTGCCAAATACTAGCTATATAATTTTATGAGCAATTTACTTAAACCTCTTACTCAGAATTTCAATTGTTTATGTTTTGTAATAGGGTAACACAAACCACTACCATGACCATTTCCTTTAATTGAGCACACAATGCATGCTGCAGCACTGGCCTAAGCACTTAGTACATACATATACAAATATATATATATATATATATATGTATATATATATATGTGTGTGTATATATATATATATATAGAGAGAGAGAGAGAGAGAGAGAGAGAGAGAGAGAGAGAGATGCAGTCTCGCTCTTTCACCCAGGCTGGAGTGAAGCGGCGTGATCTTGGCTCACTACAACCTCTGCCCCCTGGGTTCAAGTGATTCTCCTGCCTCAGCCTCCCGAGTAGCTGGGATTACAGGCATCCGCCACCACACCTAGCTAATTTTTGTATTTTTAGTAGAGACGGGGTTTTATCATGTTGGCTGGGCTGGTCTCAAACTCCTGACCTCAGGTGATCCACCTGCCTCGGTCTCCCAAAGTGCCAGGATTACAGGTATGACCCACAGCGCCCAGCCACCATTTAGCATTTTTTATATTTCTTAAGCCTCACAAAGAAACTGGGTGTTACTATATCCATTTTATAAATTGAGTAAACCAAGAAAGACTAAGTAACACTCATAGACCCCATAATAATGACAGACTCTACAGGCTTTTGTTTTAACAGACTGGGTCTCACTATGTTGTCAGGCTGGCTATGAACTCCTGGGCTCAAGGAGTCCTTCTGCCTCAACCTCCCAAGTAGCTGGGACTACAGGTACATGCCTCTGCACTCAGTGACCCAAAAGGTCTTTTTGACACCAAAGTTAAAGCCTTAATCATACAGTGTTACGTGACTATCATCTACATTGCCTGTCATCTAGCCAACATGCATAGGACCTTTGATAAGCCTCATCAGTAGCCTGCAGCAGTTAACTGAGCTAATCACCTCAATGATGGAGATTATGCTGTTACCGCATAAATGAGAGATAATGAACCCAAGATACTTGCCACATTACCAGGCATAAGTTAGGAGATTTAAATTAAAAAAAAAAAAAAAAAAAAAGAGAGAGAGAGAGAGAGATGGCCAAATAGGGTGTTTGAATCAGGAATTTAACTCTGGGAGAAGCCTGCTTAAAATTCCATAAAGTCTTAACTGGGGGCAAACTGAAAATAATATATTTTTCCTCCTCTCACTGCCTTCTGAAAAAAAAAAGCATTGAGAGCATAAACCACTCAGAAGATTTACAGCTTAAAGCAGATCACCTTAAGGTACTGGAATCAGTCAGTGCTTAGATGGAACATTTTTTGAGGCCTACATCTTCACTGAGAGTGCCCTTCTTTTCTATTTCCTATTCTTCCTTGTTTCTTTCTGTTCTCACTGCATCCCATACAGATTTGTACAAATGATGCTGGCTTCTTTTCTTCACCCACATGTAACAGTTGCTTCTGGATCATAACCATTCTTTCTATTGGTTTAAAATCTGTTTTTCTCAGATTCTTTACACTTGAAGGAAAGAAAAAAGGATATTTAGCCTCTTTTTCTTTTAAGCAATAAAAATTCTTCTCTCACTGTATTGATGATTCTCAATGTGGGGCTAAATTATAGAAATTCTGATTCTTTTTCTCTTTGAAAAAATTAAGAAGCAATAATATCAAGTTAGTATACCATGTTGGATGTTTTTTATTTCTTTTGGGGGAGGTGCTCAAAATCCATTGTAAATCTCAAGTAGAAATCCATTTCTAAATGAGTTTTTGGTTAGAAATTTATCACTTAAAAATTTTAGTACAGTATTTGGAGAGTAATGGAATGACTACCAAGCACTAAAAATTAAGACAGTAAGGTGGCATGCATTAAATCTGGTTACATGTTGAATTGTATTGGTCTGATTTCAGGGAGTAGAATAACCAGATATAGTTCCAAAATTGGACCACAGAAAAGCTGATACAGCTATGCATTCAGAATGAGTTAATTAAGCTTATTTAAACACAGACAATAAGAGAGGAGAGAAAGAATGATGGGAAAACTAAGTAGGTCACTGTTCTCTATTACTATCAAGTGCTAACTTCATTATAATAGTACTGGTTTCTCCACCATAAAATGCTAAGAAACCTGAAACATTACTTTTATGTCAGTTGTCGCTGGCAATTAGGTCAAAAGTAAATACGTATCGCTTGCTAAAAATACAAGAGGCAGAAGGCTATAGACATTTATGCTCTAAGAAATTTAATTTGAAACTAATGTATAAGACAACCTGAGTAAATCTGACTTTAGAGAGATTCAACTTTACTATACCAGACTATATGAGAAGGACAGTGGAAAAGAAAAATGGGAAATTTTACTGTATTCATCTACCTATAAAGATAGTAAGTAAAACTGGTTAAAAGTCATCACCAGTAATATTAAATTGCATGAAGATTGTACTGACTTTTTTTTTTTTTTTTTAATTTTTGAGGCAGGGTCTCGCTCTGTTGCTCAGGCTGGAGTGCAGTGGTCCAATCACAGCTCACTTCAGCCTTGACTTACCAGGCTCAAGCGATCCTCTCACTTCAGCCTCCTGAGTAGCTGGGATCACAGGTGTAAGTCACCACGCCTAGCTAATTTTTTTGTAGAGGTGGGGTTTCACTGTGTTGCACCAGCTGGTCTTGAACTCCTGGGCTCAAGTGATCTGTACACTTTGGCCTTCCAAAGTGCTAGGACTACAGGTGTAAGCCACTACACCTAGCCTTGCATTGCCATTTTTATACATCAACTTTTTAGCTTGGGAAGAAAAGTTTATCCATACAACTTTGCTCTCTTTTTTTTTTTTTTTTTTTGAGACAGAATCTTGTTCTGTTGCCCAGGCTGGAGTGCAGTGGCATGATCTTGGCTCACTGCAAGCTCCACCTCCTGGGTTCAAGCGATTCTCCTGCCTCAGCCTCCTGAGTAGCTGGGATTATAGGCCCACACCACCATCCCTGGCTAATTTTTTTATACTTTTAGTGGAGACAGGGTTTCGCCATGTTGGCCAGGCTGGTCTTGAACTCTTGACCCCAAGTGATCCGCCCACTTAAGCTTTCCATAGTGCTGGAATTACAGGCGTGAGCCACTGCATCTGGCCACAACTTGGCATTTCTAAAAATGATTTATTCACTCACTCATTCAACAAATATTTATTTACTATTTACTATGTAGCAGGCAAAGCCATCCTGGAACAAAGGCACAGTCTATCCCCTGGAGGAGTTTACAGTCCGGTGGGGAGAAAGTCTTTTTTTTTTTTGAGATGGAGTCTCGCACTGTCGCCCGGGCTGAAGTGCAGTGGCATGATCTCGGCTCACTGCTACCTCCACATCCTGGGTTCAAGGGATTCGCCTGCCTCAGCCTCCTAAACAGCTGGGATTACAGGTGCCTGCCACCACATATGGCTAATTTTTGTATTTTTAGTAGAGAACAGGTTTCACCATGTTGGCCAGGCTGGTCTTGAACTCCTGACCTCATGATCCACCCGCCTCAGCCTCCCAAAGTGCTGGGATTACAGGCATGAGCCACCACACCTAGCCTGGGAGAAAGTCTTAAAAGAAATAATCACAATATAAATAAATACTGTATTTACAAAGTAAGTTAAGTACTCTGAGGGAGAAGAAAAGCTGGAGGGATACTAATACATGGCTCTAATTTTTATTGCTTCTCTGAGGAATGACAATGAAGCTGAGCCTTGAAGAGTAGGGTAGCCAGTGAGGATTCGGGAGAAAGGGTGTTCCAGACACAGGGAACAATAAGCACCAGATGACGAAGAGCAAGACCAGCTACACAATTTGCAGGCTCAGTGCAAGATAAAAATTGAACACAAAAACTAAGAATTTCAAGCTAGTGATACAGCATTCAAGCAAGTATGGGGACCTATGTGACTGCACAGGTCACACACACATTAAGCCAGTTTTGGAAAAGGATGCATGTTTAAGGGTCATAAGGCCAGTTGCTGGAGCACAGTGAGGGGAGGGATTGCTAGCTGAAGAGTATGAGAGGTACACAGGAACCAGTCCAAGGTGCAGGGCCTCCAGGGACCAACCTCACAGAGGTTCATAGTTTCCTGAAATAGTTAGCAAAGAGCTATTGTGTAAGCAAGGCTGTTATGTAATCATTCTGCTGGGTGCTGAGAGGAAGACAAAGAATATAGTTTCTGCTTTTAAGGCGCTTACAAATAATTATATAATTTAGGGTAGAATGTGACAGGTTCCACAAGAAAGGTATAAGTACCAATATGTGGGGGCTTCAAGGGATGAAGATGACTCAGTTGGAAGTGGAGAACTGCAAAGCACACAGACAGAAGGACTGCACACTGACTGAAATTAGCATACTTCTGCCGTTGGAGCTATGATTTAACCATATCACTGCAGAAATAGCAAGCACATCCAGCACTTCCTATGTGCCAGGCACTGAGTGCTAGATGCTTTATGTGTATTAATTCATTTTAGCCTCACATCTCTGCAGTAGGTGCTATTCTATCATTTTCATTTTACAGAAGAAGAACAAAGGCACAGAAACGTTAAATAGCTTGCCCAAGGCCACATAGCTAGTAAAGTGGGGATTAATTTGAATCCAGGCAGTCTGGGTTTAACATCCTTGCTTTGAACTATTATACTATACTATCATTTTACTAACATTAAGTGTTTTATTTTGCTTTGTTTTTTAAATCTGTGTGCTATAATTGCACCTCCTTTACTTTTCTCCTGGTGTACTTGGTTAGTTATATATACTGCTTAAAATTGGCTGGGAAATATAGAATAAGAGAAATAATTGTCCTAAATATTTGTACTTCTTTATTATCTAGAGCCGGAGTTGGCCGAACAGCAGTATGAAACACATTTAGGTGTGAGTTTCTGAAAGAAGACAACATAGACAGCACTACTTTCCTCTGCTGCTGGCGTCAGTCCCAGTTTGTCTTTGCATCGATGGCTAACTAGAGCCATGTAGTTATGGACAATTACTACTGACTCCCTTAGAACTAGTGAATTAATGGAACTCTAAGAACTCACACATTGGCTCCCAGTGTCCCTATGACCCAAAGCTGGATCTGTTCCTTACAGAATTGGTAAGTACATGCATGTGCTCATTTTAACAAATATCTACTGTGTACAAGGCACTGTGCCATACGCTATGTGGAATACAAAGAAAGTTATGACACAGTCCTTTCATCAAGAAACTTACAATAAATTTTAAAATTTTGTTAATGCCATAATAGAAATATAGGCCTCATTCTATGATGGTGCAGAGGAGAATGAGTTCACAAATCCATCAGGAAATTTAGGATAGACTTTAAGGAAGAGATAGCATGTAAGCATTGTCCCGGAGGGAGGTTTTGTTATTGACCATTCCGAAGTGTCAGGCGATTTTTTGTTTTGTTTTGTTTTGGTGGGGGAGAAGGAGGGTATATATCAGTGCCTCCAAAGACTGAAGATAGGCGTGGCCATAGGTCTCCTCACTACCTTTCTACCAGGTAGAAAGCATCTTCTGTTAGGTGATAGTCAACAGGCCCAAACAGTGCTCTGCCTCGGGTGCAGGCATTAGGCTATCTGGCTTGCTGGAATCTTATGTGCAATTCATGCAGGGCCAGAGGAAACTGTATGGTATTTCTAACCAATCCAATGTGAAATTATTTCTGGCATCCTTTATGCTAACTAGAAAACCCTCTGGTGTAGATTTAAAGATAAGCAGGTTAAGTTTACAGTAGTTATCTCCTGATTAGGATCTTTCAAATGCCAAACAACTACCCTTACACTATGTATTCCCGTATCGGTGTGTTTCAATGTTAATCAATCATGTCCAAGGTGTAGACTAACTAACACGTTGTGTAGACTGGGGTGCTTTAATGTAAATTACAGACAGTGTTACAGTAGGATAGGGCTATGAGAGGGGTATAGGGAGGGACAAGATGTTCCAGATGGAAGGAACAACTCGTTATTGCTTCTATCTTTCCTCATTCCTAAAGGAAACTTCTGTAAGCAAAGGCATGGAGCTACAAAATGTGCGCCTACTAAATGTGCTAAGCAGTTCTGTTTGTTTGGGTGAGGAGCTACATGACCTGGCATAAGGTACCTGCAGAGTAGGCCGGAAAGAATACACTGAAGCCAGATTGAAGACTGTCTAGGTTGCTGCCAATCGCTGAAAGCATGAACCTATTTTGGTAGTTGCTAGCTCAGTGACCATATTTTCTGAAATAAAAACCAGGCAGATGGTCTTAACAGATGTTTGCATCCATTCTGGATATGAGAAGCAATTTGGAATATGAAAGAACCTAAAATACTAAAAGTTTTTGGATTGTTTTGGTAGCCAGGCTTATGAGGCAGAATATTTGACGTTAGAACTGTCTTTTAAAAGAAAAGTCTTGTCACAATGATGTGAAGAGATCACTGAGGTTTTAAAATAGTAAAAGGATCAAGACTGTGTTTTTACAAACATGAATCTGGAAATCATGTATATGCTAAAGTAGAGGGAAGATAAAGCAAAGAAGAAAGCGTTAGGTGCAGTGGCTCATGCTTGTCATTCTAGTATTTTGGAGGGTGAGGTGAAAGGATCACTTAAGCTTAAGAGTTCAAGACCAGCCTGGGTAACAAAGTGAGACTGCATCTCTACAAAAATTTTTTTTAAAAAATTAGCTGGGCATGGTCAGTGGTGTGTGCCTGTAGTCCCAGCTACTCCAGAGGCTGAGGCAGAAGAATCCCTTAAGCCCAGAAGTTTGAGGTTGCAGTGAGCTATGATCGTGCAACCGCATTCCAGCCTGGTAACAGAGTGAGATCCTGTCTTTAAAAAAAAAAAAGAAAGAAAGAAAAGGAGAAAGGTAGCAATTGAAAGGACATTTAGGAAGTTAGGAAAATAAATCAGGAAAAAGGGACTTTGTGAAGAAGGTGACAGTAGAAAGGGAAAGGAAAGAAGTTTTCCTAGTCCTGGGAATCAGTCTATGTCACTCATGTAATAATCACATATGGCTGTTATGAGCTATTCCTGGGGTATGAATTTTCCAAACTCCATTGGGATGCCTTAAGGCAAAAAATCCTGCCTTACTTACAGTTGGTATCTACTACAACCTAACACAAAGCCGAATACTTAGTAGATGCCTAAAGCAGATTTATTCAGTTAAGCATATTCTTACTGACTCATGATTCAAATGGAATTTGTTAATTAGTTAACTGTTAGAATAAAACAAACAGATGAAGACTATGCCCATACATTTTCCTCAAGTACGGGTGTTATAGGAGATAGGTAATGACACACAGCTGATAAATGGAAAAACATAGAAATGCACTTAACATAGGATATTCTTGTTAACTAAATGAGAAAACTGTGATAACCAATTAAATTTGGCAGTTTTCTCTGATATGTTTAACAGAGCCAATAATTACCTCTGTTCTGTGGGACAATTTCTAAAATAATGCATAAGAATAAGACTATTTGAGAAGACTTTTTATACTATGCAATTGCAGCATTCCCTAAATCAAAACTCTTTTTTTTTTTTTTTGAGACAGAGTCTCGCTCTATCGCCCAGGCTGGAGTGCAGTGGCACAATCTCAGCTCACTGAAACCTCCGCCTCTTGGGTTCAAGCAATTCTTCTGTCTCAGCCTCTCAAGTAGATGGGATAACAGGCACGCGCCACCACACCCAGCTAATTTTTGTACTTTTTTAGTAGCAATGGGGTTTCGCCATGTTGGCCAGGCTGGTCTCAAACTCCTCACCTGAAGTGATTTGCCCGCCTCAGTCTCCCAAAGTGCTGGGATTACAGGCATGAGCTACCACGCCTGACCCAAAATTCATTTCTTTAATCTTGGATAGAACATGAGAGGAAAGTTAGAACACCATGCTTGCTAGATTTTTAACACATAAACAACAGATCTATACCTACCAATCAAAGTATGTTCAAGAGAATTCTCATTTCAGAAAAAAAGGTAATATCAAACTTTCTAAAAACTGGTTACAAAATATCTAATCATTTTTTATGTACAGAGTAAATCAAATGAGAATCTATCTGAAATTAGGCTTGGTCAAACACAAGTAAAGGAAAGACCCTAAGATTAGCTTATTTTGTGTGCTTCTTTAAGGTCTATCTACTGCAGTTTACACATAAATGATTGCTCTTCAAAGTTTGGGCTGGGGTGTTATTTATGTTCCCATTTCTATGGAAACTGTGGGGAGGCATGAAAAATATGGTATGAGAAAATGTGTATTTCAACCCTTACTTCCCTTCTACCCATCCAGCCCAGCCCTCCTCATTTCCAGGGGAACAGGAGTTGAAAGACCTCTGGCAGCTGAAGGTAAAAGCTCACTAACGGATTGCAGCTGTTGGACTGTCAGCTGAGAACTGCAAATGACAGCTCATCACAGCCGTCAAAATTTTTAAATGATGTTTTCCCTAATAAATCCCCCACTGTAATAATTTACAAGGGGGAAACTGACTATATAGCTAGTGCAAGGAAAAACACTCAATGGGATCTTTTGAAGCTGAGTCCGTTGCTGTCTTTCATAATTCCAATGTCATTGATCATTTTTCAGAGAATAACTGCAATAGGAAACACAGTGAAATCAAAAGTACTCTCATCAACTCATTGTATCACAAAATTCCTCCAAATGGTGTGGGTGGAAAAAGTACTGGGTAACTAATTAAACTGAGGATGGATGGAGAAAGGGAAAGAGAGGGAGGAAGAATCTAATTTAACATTTAAACACTATTTAATTATATTTTATTACAAGAAACTATGTGAAGATTGTCAGCTACCCACAGGGGGGGAACACAGAGCCCGGTGAATGTAGTAAAATCTAGACATAAGCCTTAGCAGAGAAATCTATAGACATACAGTATTGCTATCCAAATCACCTGAGTTCAAGTAGTGAGGTATACCTATATTTCTTTAGTAATTGAAAAGGACAGGCCAGAACTTGCTAAAAATTACCCAATTCCCCTCTACATCCAAGGGCTTTGGAATACATATGTAAAATTATTTATATATGGAAATCTGTGTTATATGCTTTTAGCTCAAGGAAATATCCTCATTAATAACCTGAAATGTGACGGGGCATGGTGGCTCACTACTGTAATCCTAGCACTTTGGGAGGCTGAGGTGGGCAGATCACGAGGTCAGGAGTTTGAGACCAGTCTGGCCAACATGGTGAAACCCCATCTCTACTAAAATACAAAAAAAATTAGCTGGGCTTGGTGGCGGGTGCCTGTAATCCCAGCTACTTGGGAGGCTGAGGCAGGAGAATCACTTGAACCCAGGAAGTGGAGGCTGCAGGTAGCTGAGATTGCGCCACTGCACTCCAGCCTGGGCAACAATGTGAGACTCCATCTCAAAAATAATAATAATAATAACCTGAAATGAATGCCCTCATATAAAACACATGCAAAGTTTGAAAAAGAAAAAATATGTAATTCTTTTTGTTTTACATGTACGTAGGTCAACTGTGTCTCTGAGCTACCTTTTCATTGTTTTTGGAGAGGTTGCTATCCCAAATTCTTCACTCTAAGTTGGCTTCTACTCACACATGCCTCAGGCAAATACAAAACCTGAACATTTTCTTTTTTTTCTTATTGTTTTTTTGAGACAGAGTCTCGTTCTGTCACCCAGGCTGGAGTGCAGTGGCCGATCTCGGCTCACTGCAATCTCTGCCTTCCCGATTCAAGCAATTCTCCTGCCTCAGCCTCCAGAGTAGCTGGGCCTACAGGTGCGTGCCACCATGCCCGGCTAATTTTTGTATTTTTATTAGAGCTAGAGTTTCATCATATTGGCCAGGCGGGTCTCAAACTCCTGACCTCATGATCTGCCCTCCTTGGCTTCCCAAAGTGTTGGGATTACAGGTGTGAGCCACTGCGCCTGACCAAAACCTGAACATTTTCTTTTTTTTTTTTTTTTTTTTTTTTGAGGCGGAGTCTTCACTCTGTCGCCCAGGCTGGAGTGCAGTGGCACCATCTCGGCTCACTGCAAGCTCCGCCTCCCGGGTTCGCGCCATTCTCCTGCCTCAGCCTCCCGAGTAGCTGGGAGTACAGGCGCCCGCCACCGCGCCCGGCTAATTTTTTGTATTTTAGTAGAGACGGGGTTTCACCGTGTTAGCCAGGATGGTCTCGATCTACTGACCTCGTGATCCGCCCGCCTCGGCCTCCCAAAGTGCAGGGATTACAGGTGTGAGCCACTGCGCCCGGCCAACCTGAACATTTTCTAGTGTGATTCAACAAAATGGTGCCAAGAGTATTAACTAACAGGATAAGGCGAGAGTATTCTAACAGACTTTTGGGGCCATTCTTTTTATTCTTACCAAAATCTCTAAGGTGATATTTCCAAGATAAGAACAAACTGGAGAACAAATAGAGGAGCTCCAAATTAGGACCTCTGGTTTTTCACTGTTGAATTTAGTCTGATTCTGTTTATTTCAAGAAGCACATGTTGAAAACCTACTTATCAACCAGCACCAGGCTGGGCACTGTGGCTCACGCCTGTAATCTCAGCACTTTGAGAGGCTGAGGCAGGTGGATCATTTGAGGTCAGGAGTTTGAGACCAGACTGACCAACATGGTGAAACCCCATCTCTATTAAAAATACAAAAAAAATTAGCTGGGCCTGGTGGCACATGCCTGTAATCCCAGCTACTCAGGAGGCTGAGGCAGGAGAATTGCTTGAACCTGGGAAGTGGAGTTTGCAGTGAGCTGAGATTGTACCATTGCACTCCAGCCTGGGTGACAAAGCAAGACTCCATCTCAAACAAACAAACAAACAAAACAAAACAAACCAGCACCAGGCACTGTAATACATTTATGACAGTTTCTAACTGCAAGATATATATGTTTTAATGAAGGATTGCTATTAAAAATTAATCTTGGGCTGGATGCGGTGGCTCATGCCTGTAATTCCAGCACTTTGGGAAACCGAGGCAGGTGGATCACCTGAGATTAGGAGTTTGAGACCAGCCTGGCCAACATAGTGAAACCCCATCTCTACTAAAAGTGAAAAAAATTAGCAGGGCGTGGTGGTGGGCACCTGTTATTCCAGCTGCTCATGAGACTGAGGCAGGAGAATTGCCTGAACCAGGGAGGCAGAGGTTGCAGTGAGTTGAGATCACATTATTGCACTCCAGCCTGGGCAACAAGAGCAAAACTCTGTCTCAAAAAGAAAAAAAATTAATCTTGGCCGGGCTTGGTGGCTCATGCCTGTAATCCCAGCACTTTGGGAAGCCGAAGCGGGTAGATCACCTGAGGTCAGGAGTTTGAGGCCAGCCTGGCCAACATGGTGAAACCGTATCTCTACTAAAAGTACAAAAATTACCCCGGCGTGGTGGCAGGAGCCCGTAGTCACAGCTACTCAGGAGGCTGAGGCAAAAGAATCGCTTGAACCCAGGAGGTGGAGGTTGCAGTGAGCCGAGATTGTACCACTGCACTCCAGCCAGGGCAACCAGAGCAAGGCTCCATCTCAAAAAAAAAAAAAAAAAAAAAAAATTAATCTTATAAAAATTATGGTCCTTCCTCATTATCACTAGACTTTGATGTATATGAAGGTTGTCCTAAGACAATCTTTTCAAATGTCACTTATAGTGTAACATATAATTATATAATTGAAGCTATAAATTACTAATTGAAAAAAATGAAAGTGACTTATATAAATATGGGATCAAAGTAATAAGCTCTGGTACTCTTTTGTTTCTTTGTTTTTGAGGCAGAGTCTCCCTCTGTGGCCCAGGCTGGAGTACAGTGGTGAGATCGCGGCTCACTACAAGCTCCGCCTCCTGGGATCACGCCATTCTCCTGCCTCAGCCTCCCCAGTAGCTGGGACTACAGGCACCCGCCACCGCGCCTGATTAATTTTTGTTGTATTTTTTAGTGGAGACAGGGTTTCACCATGTCAGCCAGGATGGTCTCGATCTCCTGACCTCGTGATCCCTCCGCCTCAGGCTTCCAAAGTGCTGGGATTACAGGCGTGAGCCACCACACCCGGCCAAGCTCTGGTACTTTCTAATTCTTAGTGAAGTTTCATCTTTTCATAAGCAAATATTTACTAGCTAACATCATGATTAGGTTAGTGTTAGGGAGCACTTTGTTGTCTCTATAAGGTGTACAGTAATTTAGGTTCATAATATAAATCTGCCAATTTAAAGAATGCTTCAGTTTATTTATTTTTTGAGACAGCAGCTTGCTCTGTTGCCCAGGCTGGAGTGCTACAGTGATATGCTCATGGCTCACTGCAGCCTCGACCTGCCAGGGTCAAGTGATCCTCCCACCTCAGGAGCTGGGACTACAGGCATGTGCCACCATACCAAGATAATTTTTATATTTTTTGTGGAGTCAGGGTTTTGCCATGTTGCCCACACTGGTCTTGAATTCCTGGGCTCAAGCAATCTGCCTGCCTCAGCCTTCTGTATAGCTGGCACCACAGGTGTATGCCAGCACTCCCAGCTAATTTTCTTATTTTTAGTAGAGACCGGGTCTTGCCACATTGCCCAGGCTGGTCTCAACCTCCTGGCCTCAAGTGATTCTCTTACCTCAACCTCCCAAAGTTGTGAGATTACCAGCGTGAGCTACTACACCCAGCAGAAGCTGCTCTTTCCTTGCTAAATATCATCACGTCCTTGGACTTTGTGTTCTCATCAATTCTAATATCAGCACTAGTGGTTGTCTTTTTTTCTGGATACATTTTCTACCCAGAAAAAAAGTTAAATTTAAAACTACATACTGAAAAAAAAAGCTGCGCTTATCAAGACTTACTCTTTTTTTTTTTTTTTTTTGGTGAGACGGAGGATTACTCTTGTTGCCTGGGCAGGAGCGCAATGGCGTGATCTCGGCTCACGGCACAGCATCCTCTGCCTCCCAGGTTCAAGCGATTCTCCTGCCTCAGCCTTCCGAGTAGCTGAGATTACAGGCATGTGCCACCATGCCCAGCTAATTTTATATTTTTAGTAGAGATGGGGTTTCACCGTTTGCCCAGGCTGATCTTGAACTCCTGAATTCAGGTGATCCACCTGCCTATGCCTCCCAAAGTGCTGGGATTACAGGCGTGAGCTACTGCGCCCAGCCAAGACTTACTCTTATCGAACCCTCATTGGGCATATATTGACAATCAGGACTTTTACAAAATTACAAAGTATTACAGTGTCATGGCTCTTAAGGTAATCTCACAAAAATGTTGAAATTGGCCGGGCGCGGTGGCTCAAGCCTGTAATCCCAGCACTTTGGGAGGCCGAGACAGGTGGATCACGAGGTCAGGAGATTGAGACCATCCTGGCTAACATGGTGAAACCCCGTCTCTACTAAAAATACAAAAAACTAGCCGGGCGAGGTGGCGGGCGCCTGTAGTCCCAGCTACTCGGGAGGCTGAGGCAGGAGAATGGCTTAAACCCGGGAGGCAGAGCTTGCAGTGAGCTGAGATCCGGCCACTGCACTCCAACCTGGGCGACAGAGCAAGACTCCATCTCAAAAAAAAAAAAAAAAAAAAAAAAAAAAAAAAAAAAAAAGGTTGAAATCACAAATGATAATGAATTAAAAAGTCTACTATGTTATAATTTTCAGAATTCTAAGTCTTTCATATTTCCTTTTTCAGTGTTAATGA